TTTTTGAGAGGCTTTTTGCTATAGGGTGTGTGCACTCACCAGAAAGACAAGAGAGAGACAGAGAGACAGAAAGTGAGAAATCACCCCCAGCGGGGATGGCCATGCCTCAATCCCTTCTCCTCCATTCTCCTCTTGGGATTCCTGGGCACACATGAACACGCGCCTGATGTGAATTTAAACCATTGGGTCTGGGACTTGAACTGCGGTCGACTACATGGGAGTCCAGTGACATAGCCATTATGACAATGCTGGCCCCCCACTGTATTATTTTTCAACTTCCCTATAGGCTTGAAATATGAAAAATCAAGGAAAAATACATGAACAGAAGCTTAAAGCAGGCTCTGGCTTCCCCACCACGCTTCTGCTGACGTCCTAAATATAGCCCTGAGTCCTTCCAGAATTGTTCCTGTGCTCAATTCAGTCACCAGGGAATGGCAGCCACCTCAGCAATGGCCTACTTTGTGCCTTTATGGGGGTAAATTAAAAAGCAAGAGGATGAAGAACAGATCACAGGGTGAGAAATACAGCTTAAGATAATTTCTACTGGGGTACCCATGGGCATTATTGCAGCCGCTCTGCAGGTAATAATGAACATTTATTGAGGACTTGTTGTGTGCTCTGCACTTTGCTAGGTGCCAAATGATTATTCTCAACTATTTTATTTTTCTGACTTCCCTTTTGGGATAAAGTTTTGGGATAAATTACATACTGACTAGGGCCCCTGACAGCCATCTCATGCACATATAAGCCCTCAGTATTTAATATCCTGTGGTTAATTGGGGCTGCGTTGTAACTGATAGCAGTAATCTTCTGAGCAGTTGAAGGGAAAGTTCTCACTGAGTTCCTGCATCGACAGAGGAAAAGATGTTTTCTTCCTCTCACGAGTCTATTCTCACAGGGGGAATGTCCAGCATTTCCAGGGTAAACTCCCTTTCATCTCAGTCATTAACTCAGCCTCAGCCCTGCCCCTTCACAAAAACCAAGGACTATAGGGACCAGCAGTTGGCATAATGGCTATGTCGCTGGACTCCCATGTAGTTGACCGCGGTTCGACTCCCGGACCCTGTGGCTTAAACTCACTCCAAGTGCGTGCACGTGCATGCCCAAGATCCCAAGAGGAGAATGGAGGAGAAGGGATTGCAACATGGCCATGCCCCCTGGGGGTGATTTCTCGCTTTCCATCTGTCTCTCTCAGTCTTTCTGGCGAGCATACACGCCCTATAGCAAAAACCTCTCTCCAAAACAAAACAAAAACAAAAACAACCCAGGGATTATGTAATAGGTACCCAGAGATCAGTGTATGACGGTCATTTTGCCACCAGGCTGCCCAACAGGAGGAAGGAAAGGACCAAGGTCTGTTGGGGCATCTCTTATTTCGTCCGTTTGGCTCACAACACTTAGAAACAGGAATATGTTTCTCAGTTCTCATCAGCATCTCCTCTATGTCTGGGGTCAAATGTTTACAGAAACCAACCGCACAACCCTTGGTTTAATCTAATACGCTTCATTCCGAAGGCATGCAGCCCCTTTTCACTTCTACTGGCATGGGACTCTGCTCGGGGAGAGATCCGCCTATCCCTGAGTGGTAATCCTGACTGAAAAAAGTGGGCTATGGCTTCTGATGGGAAGGTAAAGGTTGTGATAGCCACCACTTGTTGGATGTGAGCTGAAGAGCAGTCCAAAAATCTACAACTTGACTTAAAGGAAGGTCTTTTTTGTTTGTAAGATTCTGAGGCTGTTACACCTGGGCCTCACTCAGGGCAGGCAGCTCTCAGTCCTGATTTCTGATCTCCAAACTCACTTCATAGCTACTCTATCATGCCCATTTCATCTCCCCTGGGGCTTTTTTTTTTTTTTTTTTTTTTATACCTGGACATGTCTCTGTTTCAACAGCGTTTCATAGCGGTTGGACGGTGGGTATGGAATGATGACTCCATAGTTCTTACATTCAGCTCTAAAACGTTTGTCCAACAGGACACTGGAAAGGATAAAGGGGAAACAAGTTAGTAAAATGACAATGAATAGTACTCCACAGTCTGGTCACCTCTATTTCAGACCATAGAATCTATCCCAGGAAACACTGTCTTACATATTTTATATGTAATTGTTTTCTGCAATAGAGCAAAGTTCTGCAAATTTCTTGTGAGTCACAGAAGTTCAATATGTGAAACAGGGTTCCTACATTAGAGATAGACAATGCAGAAGTTGAGCCCCTTTCCTCTTATTCATGTACCACAAAAGCAGTTGAGTGCACGCTTGGTATTTCCCAGAAAACATTCTAGGTACCAGGCACAAAGCCCCTCTCTTTTGGGAGCTTACATTCTAGTGAGGAGAAACTGATCATCTAAAAATAAAGAAATACATTTCAGACAATAGTCAGCCTCTGCGTAGTGTTTGTCATTCAGGAGGAACTATAGACACGTGGTCATTTTCCGTCTCACAACAACCCTGTGAGTTCAGTGCAATATTAGTATCTTTCACGCTGTGTAAATTATAGAATGGTAAGTGACTTGAAAATAATAAAATGGGATCATAGGATCATTTGGAGTAAGGAATTCAGGAAAGTCTCTCTAAAGAGGTTTGTTAGCCAGAGGACTGAATGATAAAAATGGAAAGGTCTGGGTGACACTACTACAGACACAATAAGCTTGGTATATTTGAGATAAAAAAAAAAGATGGCCAGTGAGAATAAAGGGCAAGGCATGCTGGAGAGAGTGGTACAAAAATGAATTTATAATGTTATCTAGGGGCCAGATCATGTGAGGCTACATAAGCCAGAGTACAGAGGTAAGATGTGAGGGCCAGTAAATGGCATAGAGGCTACGTTGTTGGACTCTCACACGGCCAATGGCAGTTCAAGTCCTAGGCCCAGTGGCTTGAAACTCACATTGGGTGTGTGTGCAGGCATGCGCAAAATCCCAACAGGAGAATGGAGGAGAATGCGGTATGGCCATCCCCCCAGGGAATAATTTCTTGCTTTCTGTCTCTCTGTCTCTCTCTGTGTCTCTGGCAAGCACATGTGCCCTATAGCCAAAATCTCTCTAAAACAGATGAAAAAGTAAACAAACACTAAGCAGTAAGATGTAACTGGACACCATGGAAAGGTTTTAAGTAGGAAAGAGACAGGATCTAATTCACGCTGTCCACTATAGGAGTCATCAGCCACCTATGCTAATTACTGAACATTCATGGTTGGTTCACATTAAGATATGCTGTAAAATATATCCTAGGCTTGAAAACTCAGATTAAAAAAGGAAAAAAAACTCTTTCATAAGTTTATATTGATTATATGTGTTTGTTTTTTGTGAGAGAGATTTTTGCTATAGGGCACGTGGGCTCGCCAGAGAGAGGCAGAGAGACAGAAAGCCAGGAATCATCTCCCGGGGGGGATGGTCATGCTGCAGTTCCTTCCCCTCCATTCTCCTCTTGGGATTTTGGGCACACACACATGCCCACCTGGCGTCACTTTTAAGCCACTGTGTCAGAGACTCAAACCATGGTCTACTATGTGGGAGTCCAGTGATGTAACCACTCCGCTATCTGCTGGTCCCATAATATTGATTATATGTTGACATTATAGTATGTGAATATGTTGGGGTAAGGAAAATATATTATTAAAATTAATTTCACCTGTTTCTTTTTAAAAATTGGCTACTGAAAAATGGAAAACAACATCTGTAGTTCACATTTGTGGCTGTGTTTTCTCTCTAATAGACGGGACTGACCTAGGCCATCCTTTCCCTCCTGTGCTTTCTCCAAGTGTCCCAACCTCTCTAGCCTCACCCTAACCCTGCTTTCCACACTTAGGAAAACCACTGGCCTTGGGACCAGCAATTAGCGGAATGGCTATGTTGCTGGACTCCCATGTAGTCGACCGTGGGTCGAGTTCCAGACCTGGTGGCTTAAACTCACGCCAGGTGCATGTGCGTGCGTGCCCAAGATGCCGAGAGGAGAATGGAGGAGAAGGGATTGCGGTGTGGCCATCCCCCCTGGGGAGTGATTTCTCGCTTTCTGTCTCTCTGTCTCTCTCTGTCTGGCGAGTGCACGTGCCCTATAGCAAAAACCTCTTCAAAAAAAAGAAAAAAGAAAAAAGAAAACCACTGGCCTTATAGGGAAGGGGGTAGACTAAGGGTTGCATTTCAGTTGAAGATAGTTTGTAAACTAAGCACATAGAGAACTAACGAAATACAGAGGACTCAGGGTTATTCAAGCCTGTGTTTGTTTACACAGTGGGTCAGCATATTTGGACTCATAATAGTCTTAGAGAAGCTGGAGGCCCAGCTCACTTCTATAACTACATCCTATTCAATCCACTGACACTTTCTCTGACAGCTTTGTGAAAGGTTGTGATCTCCGTCTTTTTCCTGAAAACTAAGTATCTACTGTCTATACTTTCCACCTTTCAGGAGCCATGTGCTTTATTTAATGCACATCCTATGTTAACAGAAACTCGCATGTGCTGTGTATTTCTCCCACCTGAAATTTATCAGGGCAACTCTAGCTGTTATAAGCAAAAATGAAGCAAATCCTTTTTTCTAGAAACAAAAATCTACTGAGGTAAAGAACTATCCTTAAAATTGTTGGTAAATTTGGATTTCCAGTAAGAAAGGAAATACCTATCTATCAAATGTTAGGTTCATCTCTGTTACTGGTTCTAGAAACACAGGAATCCATGGAGATCTAAGTCTATACACTGGTAATACCAGTGAACTCTAAAAATGTGACATGTCTCTGACCCAGACTTCTTTACTGGCCTCTTATCTGGTTTTCACACACCTCTTCTTGCTCACTTCCAATTCATTCTCCACACTTTTACAAGTGACTTCTAAAAATAAAAATTGAATCAGGTCACGACTATACTTCTGAGCCCAAAACATGACGTTCCTTTCCCCCTAGGGTAAATGCCTACGAGCCTGGCACGTTTATCCACTCTACCTCTCCAGCTTTACCGTGCAGCCTGCTCCCCCTTGTGGCCACGAATTAAACATTTACATGGATTAATTCACATTAATCCTCTTGACACCCAAATGAATTAGGTCTACCATTATTATACTTCCCCCACAGTGACTTTATACAGGTAGATTCTTCTGCCTGCAGTTTCCTGCCTTACCCTTCACCTAATTTTACTTAGCTCCTACCAACTTCAGATAAGAACTCTGATATTACTTCTCCAAGATGGCTCTTCTAGTCCCCCACCTCAAAGACTAGTTCAGGTTTAACTGCCGTATATTCTTATGTTTCAGTGAGCTTTTCCTTCACAGACGGCTCATAGCCTTCCCTTTCCCCATCCACCCAATGGTTTCTGTCAACGCCATCTTCCCCACTGGACTGCAGGCTCCCTGAGAGCAGCATCTAACTGCTCTTTTCCTTCCTGTGTTGCAGCACCCAGGCCAGTCCCACGGATTGCTGCTTCCTCAGGTATTAAAGAAGGCAGGTTGGCAGCAGAGCCCCGCACCCTCCAGGTGGGGGTCTGCAGAAAGACGCTGCTCAGCCCGACGCTCTCCTACCTGCCGGCCATGGCTTTGTAGTAAGCAAAGATCTGGTCTGCCAGCTTGTAGACAAACTGATCAAAACACAGGTTCACCTGGTGAGGAGGAAGCAAGAATGTCAGTGGCGTCCGTCTACGTTATTACAGAAACGCAGGCAAAGGAGACAGGGCATCTGGGCAGGACTGCCCAGAGCGTGTCTGCGCAAGGTGCTTGGAAGGGAAACATTGAACGCTGTGGCCAGGTGAGTTGGGGAAGTTTCCTTCCTTGTTCTCGAGGTCCTCAGCAGAGCAGATCAAGTTCAGACAGGCTGTTGAGAAACTGACCTCCCCAACGCTGCCCCTTCTTGACGAATGCAGCCGATGGGCCTCCATACCCTGTAGTTATCCATCCAGGTTGCATATCTTTTATCCGAAGTGACTGGGACCATGAGTTTTTTTGGATGTCATTTTTTTTTTCGGATTTTGGAATATTTATAAATAGGAAATGAGATAACTTTTAGGCATGAGACCCAAGTCTGAACATGAAATTCCCTTATGGTTCCTATCTATCTTATACAAATAGCCTGACTATAAATTTATATGGTATTTTTGTACTGCAGTGTTTTTAACTGTGACTCATCAAAGCGAGGTCAGGTGTGGGATTTTCTACTTCTATTGGGTTCTTGGGAAAGTCCTGACACATTTTTGCATAGAAAAATACATCATGATTTTCCGACCAACCTAATAGCATCATGTCAGCACTCACAGAGTTTCAGATTTTAGAGCATTTCAGACTTCCTAATGAGGGATGCTCGACCTGTATGAGTCAGCTAACCCTCCAGCCTTCCTGTCCACCTCCTCTCTTCTCCTTTCCTTTTACTTTGCTTTTCATCAAATTTGATTATGAAGAAGCTGATGGTCATTAGAAATTTAAAAACCCCCTTTTTCAAACGTTGCTTAAGCCCTTCTGTTTTTTAATGTGCAAAGTCTTGCCATTTCAGTGTTCTTATTATGTCAGTGTAAATTGTGATGCTCAGGTGAGAAGATAAGGGCACGCTAGACATACAGAATCCAAACCAAATCCTGTGCAATGGCAGTGCCAGCTCTGTGATGCTGGAAGCCACATGGAAGACCAGGGTTTGGCTCCTGGTTCAACCCGTGCATGTTAGGTGTGCCTGTCTGTGATCCTGGTTGGCTGGGAAGGCTTGGGGAGGAAAGACACAAGAGACCATTCTGAGAGTGCTTGTCTCTCTCTCTCATAAAACAAATAAAACTTAAAACAAACAAAAAAAAACAATTTCTCCAGTGATAGCACGAGCAGAAATGGCCAAGGGTGAGACTTCAAAGAAATGGAGTGGTGGCAGCAGAGGGCACAGTATAACTTCAAAGGAAGCACATCAGGTTTAGGTGATTCATCTTTGATTCTTGGCTTCCTAAGGTTAATGCTTTATTCAAAGGCCCTTCACATCTTTCATCTTCCATGCACGTATTATACAGAACACAAATATAGT